CTGTACCTCAGGATCAACCCTACCTCCTCTGCAGCCCTGCCTTCACCCACACTCACTGCCTGCCTGGAGTAGATACAGGCGTGGATGAAGCAAAACTTCCTGAAACTCAACAGCTCCAAGACCGAAGCCATTATAGTTGGCACCCCACACCAGGTTCGGTCATCCACCATCACCACCATCACCTTCTCCGGCCAGGACATTACCCTCTCCTCAATAGTCACCAACCTGGGTGTTAAAATGGAAGCCCATCTGACCTTTGAGGCCCACATTAAACAGCTGTGCAATAACTCCTTTTATCACCTCAGGAACATCGCCAAACTCCGCCCCACACTCACTCTGTCTGACGCCGAAAGCTGGTCCACGCCTTTGTCTCCTCCAGACTGGACTACTGCAATGCACTCCTCATCGGGATCCCCAACAAAAGCATCCAGAAGCTCCAATACATTCAGAACAGCGCTGCTAGGATCCTGATGAGGGTGCGCAAATATGATCACATCACCCCCATCCTTAAAGCACTACACTGGCTACCCGTGGAATTTAGGATCGAATTCAAGGTCTCCGTCCTCACCCACCAGTGTGTCCATGGAACTGCCCCTCCCTACCTAAGGAACTCCTCACCCCCCATACCTCCTTGTGGACTACCCGCTCCAGCAATTCCTACCTCCTCAAACCCCCCAGGACTAAGCTCCGTACTATGGGAGACCGGGCCTTCTGCTCGGCTGCTCCCAGTCTGTGGAATGCTCTCCCCGACCAAATGAGAGCACCACAGACCGTGGAGGCTTTTTAAAAAGGCCTCAAAACCCATCTCTTCAAAAGAGCCTTTGCCTAGACCTTTTTATCACCCTTTTATTTATTTTGTATTGCTTTTTATTAATTCTACCGTGTTGTGTAATGTTTATTTATACTGTTCATGCTCACTACTTGTAGCACTTCGGGATTTGAAATCAAATATGAAGTGCTTTATAAATGGAACCCATTATTATTATTATTATTATTATTATTATTATTCTGTCCAAGGACGCAATCGAGCCAGTAGACCCTCTGCTTAGCCCAGGGGGTTCTACTCGGCGTACTTTCTCGTGAGCAAGACAGTCGGCGGATTTCGCCTGATCTTGGACCCCAGAGGAATCAACAGATTCCTGAAGGTGCTGCCACTCTATATGCTGACCACAGCACATGCACAGCCGTGGACTTGAGGGTTGCCTACTTCCACATGGGCCGGGCAACATGGTGCCTTATATTCAGTTCCTTCGGCCCTTGGGCATGCTGCCTCGGCCATTGGGCCCGCTGGCGTTGCGCCCCATGCAGATGTGGCTGAACAGCCTTCACTTGGATGCCAAGTGGCACAGGCGCAGGGAAGTCAGGGTGTCACAGCGTTGCCTCCACTCTCGGTCACACTGGAGGGGCAGGGCCTATCTCCTGATGGGCGTACCCATGGGCGCCATCCCATCTGCCAGGAGACCGTCACCATAGGTGCAGGTCTCACAGGGTGGGGTGCAGTACGGCAGGGCAGGACCGTTCAGGGTCAGTGGTCTGCCCAGGAGGGTGCACACCATACCAACGTGCTAGAGCTTCGGGCTGTGCAGCTTGCACTCACGCACTTTCTACCCCTACTGGGGGGCAAGAATGTGCGTGTTCCTTGGGACAGCATGTACGCTGTTGCCCAGACAGCAGTCCCTTCTAGACAGTGGGCGTTCTCACTCCACTCTGAATTTATGTGGCTGCTATTTCTGCCCGACATATTCGGGTCGACGGCACCACGGCGGGGTGCCACAGGTCGGTGTCCCTCTTCCTGAGAGGGGTTTTACGGCAGCATCCCCCTAGCACCCCGAGGGCTCCGGCTTGGGACCTGCCCCTGCTGCCGGATGCCCTATCATCTCCTCCCTTTGAGCCCCTGGCCCAGGTGGAGCTTAAGTGGCTGTCCTTAAAGGCAGCATTTCTGCTTTCCATGACCTCAGGGAAACGAGTTGGAGAGCTACATGCCCTCTCCGTGAGCGATACATGCCTGAGGTGGAACTCCGATGGCTCGGGTGTTGCCCTCTGGCCGAACGTGGCGTTCCTGCCCAAGGTGCTTCCACTAGCCCACTCCAATCGGCCTATCCAGCTGGCACGCTTTAACGTCCCACAGGAGAACGGCACGCCTGAGTTGCTGTGCCCTGTGCGTGCCCTAGAGGCACATTGGTGCTACGGCCCATATACGACAGTCAGAGCAGCTCTTCATTTGCCATGGCGGCACGAGAAGGGGCTGTGCTCTCTCCAAGCAGCGGCTGTCCCACTGGGTTGTGGATACAATCTCACATGCCTATGGGGCCAGTGGCCACCCCCCGCCATCAGGGGTGAGATGTCACTCTACAAGGAGCATCTCAACGTCTTGGGCTGCCCTGAGAGGGGTGTCCCTTGAGACCATCTGCGCTGCGGCGTCGTGGGTATCGTCTGGCACATTCTCCAGGTTCTACCGGGTCAATGTCGCCACTCCCCATCCTTTGGGCGTGGTCCTGTTGCCGAGCTCCGCTGCTTCCAGCTAGGTAAGCAAGTGTTCGGATTCTTCATGACATGGATGGTATAGTCATCCAGTGCTAAAAGCACCGTCTCTGGCGGTCAGTAGGGACGAAATAGAACGATAGTTACAGCTGTAACTACGGTTCTATGAGTCCCGGATGACCGCCAGAGTTTCCGGTCACTCAGAATTCTTGTGTGCTCGCGAGAAGATTCTGGTAACCGATCCACTAGTGACGCCGGCCTATGTAGCCGTAGTCACGTGGGTCACAGGTGACTTTGTTGTTATTAGGTACTCGAACTGCACATGCGTGCGATGGACATATCCAGTGCTAAAAGCACCGCCTCTGGCGGTCATCCGGGACTCATAGAACCGTAGTTACAGCCGTAACTATCGTTATAATTAAATAGCCAGCAGCAGTAAATAAAGTCACAAAAAGTAGCTCATAGTACCAGCTATGATGAACACATTGCTAAAAAATAAATACATCCAGTAATTTATTATATATATTTTTGTGAAATGGGACACGCATAATGAGTACTTTTACTTTTGGAACTTTAAGTATATTTTGATGCCAAATTGCCAATACTTTTGTTCTTTTACTTCATTAATATTCGAATGCAGGACTTGTACTTGTAACAGTATCTTTACACTGTAAGTACTTCTTCCACCACTGACTGATACACATCCATATGGGTGAGGTACTTCATTCAGCCAGTGGTCTTTTTACATATGAATATTTACAGACTTCTGGTTATAGACCTACAGCACTTGAGATATATACAGTATAGTGATAACATGAATGAAACCTTGGCCCACTTGGTGGTGGATGTAAGGTGTTTCTAACGCAGTGTGCATCTCTGCCAGTAAACTCAAATATAATCAAACTCAAACTAGGCAGCGCTGGTGAAATATGAGTTATGGGCTCCGGGTCCAATAGTATTTCTTTGAGTGAAATGCCCCGGATATATATGACAGCTAGGATAGGAGCTGTTTACATTCTCTAGATGCTAAAGTAATGCACTTTGAAGTTCCTTTCTCATATTAAGAAAAGGAGATCATGCCTTCCCACGATTCCTTGCGGCAGCACTATTTAAAGCAGCGCAGCATTCTGCTCTCAATAACTACACTAGTGAGTCATTCCAAAGAGTCAGCTTACACAATACAACCTGCAACTGGCTCACTGTAATGGTGTGCACTTACACTCAGGTTATTAGTTATCCCTGTTGTTTTACAAGTCAAAAGGTCTGCTGTGAAACAGGTCGACTCTCAGAGAAGATATTTATCATTAAGTATCTGGGTATGTCAGACAAGAAACAAGAAATGCCAGATCAGAATGATCGAAGTCATTTAGAAAAAGTGTCTTCACTTATTAATGAACCTTGTTCACCTATCTGTATAAACGTATATTCACCAGATCAGAGTTTAACTTGTGTTATTGTTGTTATTTCTATTCATACTTTAACTACATTTAAAACAAATTGTATTATCCCTGTGTATATTCTCATTTGTTCTCTCTTATTCTGTTGCTACTATAACACCTGAATTTCCCTACAGGGATCAATAAAGGTCCATCTTATCTTATCTTAATTGGTCATGTGATGTGTTTATATTAGAAAGTAACAGTGACAGACATTAGATTTTTCTCTCCACTCTCTATAACAGTATCAGTCTTAGTTTGCTCTTCCATATTCCCCTGTTTCACTTGCATTATGTTGGTGCAAAAGAACATATTAAGTGCCACACATAAGCCAAATGACAGTAAGTACATATCCTTTTGCTGAATCCAAAACCCTTTTCCATTGGAACAACCTCTAAGATGCTCTTAATCCCATTCCACTCTGGACTCAATCTGTTAAAGTTTCCAGAGCGAGTGAAGGCTGTTGAGGCTCAGTCCTCAGCTCTTTTTTCACTAACACACATCTGGCAAACCCCTCTCATGCTGGCCTGCTGCTCCCACCCAACACAGAGAACTGAACAACACCACCGACAGCATGGCTGACCCTTCACACTATCACTGTGCCACTAAGTTAATGGTACTATGGAAGGTGATCAGATAAAAAGGTTTGCAACTTTGGACACAATGAATGTTTCATTTTTTGTGCTGCAGGGTCAATATACTACCAGGAACTGGCACTATGGACTGGAACAGCATAAAATGTATTTTAACAACAGTACATAATGAAAAAATATTTAGAGACATTTTAGTGTTTAAACAAAGTATTGCTAAACTTCCCAAAATAATCTGCAAAAGATGAAATAAAGGTAGAGGGAGGTATGTTGCAATATAAATCCATACACTTTGAAGAATGAATACTAGTTTCTTTATTATTACAATATTAATTTGTTCAGTTATTATCATGTCATGGTTATGAAGCTAACATGTCAAAAGAAAAATGATGAATTCATTTCTTCTTTTTAGACTTAAGGAACGGTAGATCTTGTTTGTTCATGCTACATCATCTTGTTTTTTTTTAGTGTTACTAAATAGACACATTTTTACCTGTTTGGAGCTGTCCCATTGGCTGCTTCTCAGCTTCAGCTATTGGCTGTTGGAGCTCGGCTCCTCCCCCTTCTCCTCCAGGTCCTGCAGGTTGTCAGTGGGTTTCACAGCTGTCAGTAAAAGAAACACAAATGACAAACTGTTAAAGTGTCAATGATTCAAATGACTGAGCGATGATCGGTTTATTGACATTATTCTACATCAGAACCAGTGCGTACATCGCTAATGATATCTTTACTCAAGATAAAGCAGAGTCCCTTAGTCAAAGTAAATCTAGAATCTAGCAAATCCCAAACTAAAAATAAAATAAACACAGGAACAGAGGCCCTAATGCAATCCTGTTTATTTTCTGGCAGTAAGATATAAGGAGTTAGGAAAAAGTAAATTATTATCAGCCTGTATTTATTATACTCCTCAGTCCATAATGGCCGAACATTTCGCAGAACGACACACCAGCATGCGTCATGGTTGATGGGAGTTCACCTGATGAGTTCACAGGGTGCTCTTCCACTTCCTGTGTCTACACATGGCATTTCCCTTTTATCACCGCCTTTAACATCAATGTACAGCAGCCATTACTTATCTATTAATTATATTAGCTTCATTTGTAATGTAATGGTTAAAATACTCTTTTCACTAGCTCTGCCACTATAACCACACCTCCTTTTTGAGGCATACTTCAGTCATCACTGACTGTAGGACATTAGAAGTGAAGCAGAGGACCCGACAATGACATCCTTTAACAGAAGAAATGGTCACCTTCCCATGCATGAAGGGGCAGTGACAACCCCTAACTGATTCTACTCATTCTCCGGTCACCTGTGTGGTTTTACACATTTCAACTTCTTATTTTTTCCACCCATATGGTCTTATTTTCCTTTCAGTTGTTACCACTGCGTAGCTTTTCCTGGTTTGAATCTTGATCAAATTCCATTCTTTTACCAGCTGACCTCATCTCTTATGTTCAATCTGAATTTACTTTAAAATAAAAAAATTCTATATTGATTCTGACTCTTCTACATCCAACTCACAAGTTTATCATTGCTTTGAGAAAAAAGATGATTAATTTACCCCTTTTAGAAGGGAAGATATAGTCATCTGTTCTGGGCATGTCATTTTCGAGCCTGAGACCTTAAAAACAGGCTTGGGGCTTAACAGGTTAATGACTCAGTGTAGTGGTCCAGATGGTCCCTCAGTGGGAGCTGGAGTCCCACCAAATGACCTCTGCCTACCACACACACACACACACACCCACACACCCACACACACACACACCACACACACACACACACACACACACCACCCACAACACACACAGCCACACACACACACACACACACACACACACACACACACACACACACACACACCACACACCACACACACACACACACACACACACACACACCACACACACACACACACACACACACACACACACCCACACACACCACACACACACCACACACACACACACACACACACACACACACACACACACACACACACACACACACACACACACACACACACACACACACACACCACACACCACACACACACACCTCAGTAGGGAACAACCCTTAAAGTCAGCAACTCTCAAAGTCTTTAGTCTTCAGCAAAGACATCTGTTGATCCTGCAGTGTGTTGAACACCAGCTCTTTATCATTTCAGCAGTAGGTACCCCATTGACCATGGCAACGATGTAATTATGTGACATTCACATACCCTCTATAGTTGTTATACAGTATGTCATTTAAAGAAATGTGAAAAACAAAAGAGAAAGTAATGTAATGTAAAAACAAGAAAATGATTTCCCTATTAAAGTAACTAGCGAGAAAGACGCCATGTTGGCAACACTGACAGTCTGTCCCTTCAATCCTCCGTCCAAATGTACTCCCTAAAAAGTGATCATTATGGAAGTAGAATATCATGATAAGTAAAGATAAATGAACATGGCTAAGGTTAGTAAACACACCGGTCAAGCTAGCAGCTTTTTGAAAGGATCTGGTTAGACCCACTAAAGTGGTTTGGTGATGACCTATTTTTGTAGGCTAACCCAGGAGTTAACATTGCAAGGGCTCACTCAGCCAAAAGCAATGGATTTTCCATTGAATTAAAAAAATATTGCAGAAAATAGGATCTTTGGCAAACAGACATTTGTAATACCTACATGTTTTGTTAAGCAGAAAAATAAAAAAACAATAGTTTTAACAAGGGAGCTGAAAGGGCTAAAATAACAAATCAATTCTGGGGTTATAGGACTATTCCTGCTCAGGTTCAGCTGGCTTCAGCATCAGGAAAATACCTGAGCAGCCAACAAACAAATCTTGTGAGTTGTGTGGTGAGTAAGGAGAAGGGACATATAGAAATATAGGAGTATAGGAACCTGTGTGATAGAAAGGCAGTGATTGGACTGATACATGTCATATATTAAACTCTTTATGGAGCTTAAGTGTTGACAGATCAACATATCGAGGTTAAATCTGGATAGGAGAGAAGTGAACGAGCAGCCCTCTCATTATCCACAATGAGGTTCACTTGGGCAAAGCGTCATACACATTATGTTATCTTAGTCTCTGCAGAAGTAGATATCCACTACGGAATTTTATATTCTTCCTAGTACATAGTGTTTCTCCTAGTCACAATATTCTCAGTAAATCCTAGAATATGACGTTTTTATAAGAATTTCCCTTAACAAATAAGACCAGATAATTTGTGAATATTAAAGTTATTCACAAGCCCTTAAGAAAGCTCCTTAGGTGAATGAAAGGGAACAGACTTTGTTTGTATTAAGATATCCTGATATGGATCCACCGTGAGGTATGAATGGATGTTGTTATCCAGCATGTGCACTAGCTTTCCTCTGTTGTTGTGTGATGTTTACTGTGGCCACTTCCGGTGTTAAAGGGGCACGGTCCGGGGGAAACAAGCCTTGCTAGGAACAATCTCAGGTTTGTGCGGTTAACTTTATTGGCTACAAACAAACTAGACTGTTTACTCTGCATGTCAGACCAATTGTAGAGATAGGAGCCCTGTCTGCTCAGGAACATAAGTTAGATTATAGGTTAATGTCATACGGAAGTGACATATTTTTTTGGAGTCCTGCTGCTAGTTCTCGTTTTAGGAACAAGCTTAGGAAAGGGAATGTGTTTGGCTCTCCTTTTTGAGAGCATTTTTTTTGGGGAGAATTTGGGTGTTAGGTCCTACTATATGTTTATTTTTTGTTGTTGTTCGTTTCTCCTGCTTTCCATTAAATAGGCTGCATACCCTCTTCATGTACTTCAGGCTCATATTTTTGATGGTTAATTAACAGGAAATGGTGAAGCATGTCTAAGACTTGTCTCCTGGAATGTTAAGGGCATGAATGCCCCGGTTAAAAGAGGCAGAATTTTTCCCACTTAAAACACCTTAAAACGAAATTGCCTTTCTACAGGAAACTCATCTGACCACTAAGGACCACCATAGGTTAAAGGCATCATGGGTTGGCCAAACCTTTCATTCCAATTTCAGTAGTAGAGCAAGAGGCGCAGCTATTGTGATGCATAAAAAATACAGTTCAGCCCGACAGGTTATAGCGGATCCTCAAGGCGCTTTGTGATAGTTTCTGGTTCCCTCAATAATGTCAATGTTGTTCTCGCCAATCTATATGCGCCCAACTGGGATGATGAAGCATTCATGGGAAAGTGATATCATTATTACCAGACCTAAGCTCCCACCATTTGATTTTGGGCGGTGATCTCAACTGTACAATGGACCCGCTTTTAGACAAATCTAGCCCAAAACGGGACTCCCCCTCTAAAATGGCTAAAGCCATCTCATTATTTATGAGTCAAACAGGTGTGTGGACCCATGGCGTTCTCTCCACCCCAAAGCGAAACAGTTTTCTTTCTACTCCTTGGTTCACAAAACATTTCGAGAATCGACTATTTTTTTATCGATAACTATTTTCTTCCCGCTGTAAAAAACATAGAATACTCACCAATAGTGATATCCGACCATTGTTACTTGACCTCTCATTCACCACTGTTACAAAGTCCCCCCTGGAGACTGAACGGCACACTGTTAACGATGATCGATTCTGTGAAACAATCTCTAAAGCTATTGATGATTTCCTTATAACCAATATGTCTGATGGGATATCACTATCTCTTTTGTGGGAGACGTTAAAAGCTGTGATCCGAGGAGAGACTATCTCTTACTCTGCAGGCAAAACAAAATGAAAACAAAGCAAAAGCAGTTAGAACTTTTGGGCAGTATAGCAAAACTAGATTCAACTCTCAACATGTCCATCCCCTGAACTAGATAAAGAAAGGCAAAATCTTCAGATGGAATACAATTTACTTTCAACGCAAGAGACTGAGAAATTGATTTTAAGATCGCGTGGATTTCAGTATGGACATGGGGAGAAGGCGGGTGTCTCCTAGCGCACCAAATTAAGAGCCAGTCGGCCTCCCAACAAATTAAACAAATACGGACCCCTACTCGTGAACTCACAACAATCCCATCTGTTATCAATGACACCTTTAAAACATTTTACTCTGGACTATATGCCTCACAAGCCCCTGTCGATAATGCAGACAGAACTACATTCTTGGATGATCTGGAATTTCCTTCCATAACTCCAGCTCAGGAGGGTGAGTTGGATCAACCTCTAAAGCCCAGCTGATTCGATCAGGCTGATCCAGAGTGGCAAGGCCCCGGGCCCAGGCGGCTATCCAATTGAGTTTTATAAAACATTTATTGATAAATTGACCCCCCTTCTTTTGAGAATGTTCCAGGATTCTCTGGACCAGGGAACGTTACCACAAACTCTCACTGAGGCGGTAGTAATCTTATTATTAAAACCAGGCAAGGCAAAATCTGAATGTAGCTCCTATCGCCCCATCTCCCTTCTGAATGCGGACTATAAGATCCTGGCTAAAATACTAGCCATACGCCTTGAATCAGTCACGCCACACATCATATCATTAGACCACACTGGGTTTATGAAAGGCTGATACTCCTTCTCAACATCCTCCTCTCTCCTGCATCCAAGGAGACACCAGACGTGGTGGTCTCATTGGATGCAGAGAAAGCGTTCGACAGGGTGGAGTGGGGCTTTCTATTT